CTGCGCACAGCAGGGAATATGCTGACACCCCCGCCGTCCTTTTCAAAAACAATACAAAGTGCTCGCGGGCCTCAAGAACATGACTCCTGACTTTGCCCCAAAGTGAACTTAACATTGTTTTTTGACAGGGATGGTGGGGGGGGCGATTGCTCCGAATGTGGAGGCAGAGTGCGGTATGTCTTGTTTTTGACAGGGATGATGAGGGGCGGGTCGGCATGGTGTCGGCATGGGGTCGGGTTGGCCCCCGATCGCCTGGGGGAGGGGGTGTAGACTAATAAGGAACAGTGATAAACCATTCCCCCGAGCAGGGGGACAACTCGTTAAACCATTCATCCCACAGGGCTGGTGGCACTATATAGATTAAGTTGGGTGGTGTCGGTCCCAGGGATCTCGTGAGACCTTTGGGGGGCCTCTCAGGGCCTCTTGGGCCTCTATTGGGACGTCTTGAGGCCAGATTGGCACTCTGGCCGCAGGAAAAGTCACGCGGGAAGCCCCAGGAGCGCCCGAGTGCGCCTTTCTTGGGGGCCTCTTGGGCCGTCTTGTGGTCTTCGGCCGTCTTGGGCCTTGCTGGGCGCTTGTTTGGCTGTTTGGGGGGGTTATCCGGGGTCCCCCCTTGGGCCGTCTTGACCGGGCGGAAGCTCGAAAAGGAGAGAGCATCCAAATGTTTCAAAAACCGAAAGGGCATGCATGATTGTCGTTTATTTGGGCGTTCTTGCGGACCTCTTGGGCCTTCTTCAGGCCGTGGTGTGGGTCTGTGTGCCCTCTTGGGCCCGTCGTCGGGCCATCTGGCCTCGTATATCTGTGAGAGAGAGTATATGCTTATATACATATGACCGTATATGTATGTATAACTAGTTATTTGTATAACAGATGTGTTCGCTCATACATATGACAGTATTGACCGAACGGTGCAAGGATGTTCTTCGCAGTCGAAGACGACCACGCCCGACAAATAGCTAAACGGTTCTGCAAAGACACATGCAGACTGACAAGTTCAACGAACCTCCCCGATGAAGCTCTTTGTTCTCGTCCTCCTCCTCGGCCTCCCTCTCCTCTCTTTCCCTCTCCTCCCTGTGCGATTTTGGCCAGCACGCTGCCCGCGCATGTCTTCGCCGGTCTCACGTCTCCGCGTGCGCGCTTTTGAAGACAAGTTCAAACGCCCAGCGCTTTTCACGGAGATGCTTGGTGTTCGGTCGTTGGGATGTACGTTGCCTCCGTTGCGGGCAAAGCGTTCGTCTGATTGTTCCATGCCGTTTTCGTGTCCCGTATTGTTCTCAGGCGCCAGCCCGCGGCCGTTTTGGTTTCGTTGTCGCGGCCGACGGTTTGGAACGAAACGGGTTGTGTGTGGGATGGTGCTGGTTTTTTTCATCGTTTTCATCGCAGGAGGTGATCAATATGAGAACCACGTGGAGGGGGAGAGGAGATGGGACGCGTCGGTCGCCCAGGGCGGAACGGCAAGTGCATGTTGCAGATGGTCATGTCTAGCCGCATTGTGGTATCCAGTGTTGTTGGGGCAAGCCATCCCTCCGTGCCAGCGCAGCATCGAAATTTACGCAAGATGGTTCTACAAAGCTCTCCCGTACAGACCGTCTTCGTCATCGTCGTCTGCCTTCACCTCCACCACAACAGATTCCCACGAACGTCGTCGGCGTTTCTCTGCCACTCCCAGTAATTTCCCCCTACTCCGCCTATGCCTCGTCACTCCTCCTCGTCCTCCTTGTCTTACCTCCTGCCACACCCCTGCTGATATCAGCTGATGACACTTCCTTGAGGACGACCAGGAAGAAACGTCGATCCACCGAGAGAGAGCGGTGGAGCGGGCGCGATGATGAAGAGTAGCTGAAGGTTTTGGAGGGTCTTGTCCTAACACAGGAGGATCGTAATGTGTTCGCGACGGTGAACACCCCCCCTTTCCCCCTCTCGTATAAAATTCTCGTTGGCCTCCTTCCTTCGTTTCCCTTCACCTACGCTCCCAGTGCTGATCGGAGGTTGGGGGGTGAGATCGCAGTGAAAGGGAGAGCCTCACACCGGGAAATCGGTTCCGGTTTCGTGTCGAGCGTGCGGGCGAGGCGATGTTGCGTGGGCGGGCTAGAGGAATGTTCCCGCCCTGGCTAGGACGCAACCGGGCTCAGTGTCTCTCCTCCCCCCGGTTGGCTGGCGTTAGCCCGGGGATGTCCCGCCGGTGTCCCATTGTGTCCCGTGGTGTACCGTGGCGCGGTGTCCCGCGGAGGTCCCGTGATGGCCCGTGGAGGTCGATAATGAGAGTGAGAACGACAATGAGATCAAAAGTGAGATCGACGGTGAGATCGACGGTGAGGTCGATGAGTGGTGAGTGAGCGAGTGAGTGAAAACAGTCGCGATGCGAGTCGAAACGACGCCTACGGACGCTTGCGAGCAAGCTCCTCGCCCTTGCTTAGAGCCTTCGGCCATCGATCCGATTCGAATGAACAGCTCGATTCGCATTCGCACGCCTGAGACAGACCTGCCCCACACATCTGATGACACTACTGGCATAATACCCGCACTGTGAGCAAAACCAGAGGCCCATGGACCGACGCAAACGCATAGAATGACTGCTGTGTACCCAGCCCCCCCCTACATGTAATTTAAGCCCCGACGGCAACGCGGCAAAACGGCCATCCACAAAGGCAGGTAAAAAACACGAAGAAGAAATCCATTCGGATTTGGTGGCAAAAGTAGCAGAACTACAGCACACTTTACAACGTTTGCCAGAGTCATCGAGCGAGTGATTGGTTGCAAACTGTCGCCAGGCAGAAGGTGCAGGAGTTGGCGGCACCTCGCAAGCAACCTCCTTTTTCTTCGGCAAGCCACTCTCACGAACCAACAAACTCTCGGCATCCAAGGAATCGATGGTGGCACGAATCATGTGCATCCTGGTATGGTAAACATATTTTTCCAGCAACTGAACGCGGGCCCGCTCTCGCTCGGGAACTCGGTGGCGCTTGGCAGTTGCGCCTGCGACGAGGTCCACAGCAGCGTTGCCGAGGACAAGTTGCCATGGTGCCTTGCCTGCCACCACCTGCTGCGGTGACAGGTGTGAGTTGACGAACAGCACCACAAACTGGGACTCGCGCCCGGCAGCGACTGCGACCCCGATCCACCGCCACAAGTCGGCGTCCTCGCCGACTGGTGACACAAACTTGCGGGCGTACCATCCGTCGGCAACGCCACTGTTGTCGATGACAAAATAAATAAATCCACGTGACATCTGAATCGCGACGAGCAGTGCATACAGCTCACCCCGCGGCACGCTCTGTCGTGTGCCTGGGAGACCCCCCGACACCATTCCTGCAATCGCGTACGGATCGAAGGAGGCAACGCAGACCACCGCCAGGCCAACCCGCCTGAAACGGTTGTCGGCAGATTCGGCGCTGCCGCTCGCGTCGGCGAACAGCCACAGCGGGGCCCGCCCGGTGCCGACGCCGAACGTGATGCAATCCGAGCTGCTCGCCGCGACGCCCGACACGTGCCACTCCTCCTGCTCCAGCGGCGGGGTCATTGTTGTCCACGGGATTGGTAGCAACCCCCGCAACCAGAAGCACTCCTCGCGCTCGTGTCTGCTGATAGCCTGGGGTAAGAGGCTCTGCGAACGTTCGTAGGCCAGCGACCCCCCGTTCTTGGAGCAGCTCCAGATCCTATGAAAGATGGTCTTGTCCTGCTCGCCGCACCTCGGGCACAGGCGCGATAGCCCGAGCGCATTGGCCCCCGCGGCGTCGACTCAGCGAGCCCTTGGCAAGCTGCCCCCAGTGACCACCATGCTGAGCACCTCCGCCATTCGGCGACCCCTCGGCATGCTCTCGAATTGTTGGTAGAGCTTGCGCAGCGACATCATGTCCACGCCATGCTCCACGCCTGCGCCACAGAAATGCTCGCTAGCCTTCCACCACAGTGTGACCGATATGAAGGCCCTCAAATCTCGTACCAAGTCTGTGGGCGCGTCGACATCAACGAACCCCGACCAGACCGCGTCGGGAAATTGCCACTCGATGATCTCGCCAGACTCTGTGAGCGGCATCGCCGAACATGTCGCGGATAAAGGACCCCAACCATTCATTGTCCAGCAACAAGGAAACAATCGCCGACAGTGGCCCTCTGATATGACGTGAACGGTGAATCGGCGCAACATTCTTGAGGTGGGCGACAACCGTTGGCCACGCTGCGCGCACTCCAGCTCCCAACGGCGGCTCCTGCTGCCATATGCGGAACCAAGTGCGTATGCCATCCTCGTGCATGCGCAGCGCTAGGTAATCTGGAGCCTTCAGCCCGATGAGCGTCGTGAGGCACCTCCATCGGGCCGTCGACCCCACTGCTGCGCCCAGCCTGCGCCGGTACGCCGTGAACTGCAGGCCGAACACGCCATGGACCCGGTAGGCGTAGGACCGTGCTGCCTGGGCCCCAAGCCTCTCCAACTTGGATGTGACCCGAGTCCGCCGTCCAGCAATGGTGTACCTCCTGACCTGTGCGTAAGCGGGATCGAGTGTGCGATGGGTAGAGTTGCGATGGTGTCATTGACGTGCCTCATCAGTGGCTTCGGGTGTTCGGTCCGATGGTGTTTCGATTGTGTTCCGATGTTGCCTCAATGGTGCTCCCGTGGTCTCACTAGCGCCGTCATCACGCATATGTTCCGACTCGCGATCGCATCATCAGCATAGTCACCATCACAGCCATAGCAGTTGCCACCAGTTTAACCCCCAAACACACACACACACAACCTCCTTATCACCCAAAGGATGGTCGTGTAGATATAGGTGGTATACATAATGCAAAAAACACCCGTCGTACTCTTGAGGTCGGGAGGTTTGTTGTCGTCTGCATATGCCTCTCGACGGACCCAGTACAAGTATCCACGTCCCCTTCCCTTCCCTTCCTTCTCCCCATCCTCTCCAGCTCTTCCCCCCTCAGCGTCCCTCCGTCCCCCCTTTCCCCCCAGACGGTCTCCTATCCCTCCCTTCTCTTCATCCACCACGCCCACGACCCAGGAGAACACTGGGGTGATTGAGATGATCAACACGCTCATCAAGAGCTTGGACCTCGACATGACGGAGGCGAAGGCCGAGGAGAAGAACGCTCAGGAGGACAACGTTGGCAACGCAAGAAGGAGGAGCAGGAGGAAGGGGAGGAGGGGGAGCAAGGGGAGGAGGGGTGCAGGGGGAAGAGGGGAGTACAGGGGCAGCGGAAGAGGGAGGAGGAAGGGGAGTAGGGGCGATAGGGATTGGGGAGGAGTGGAGCAATGAAATGCCGTGGCCCGTCTTGGACCCAATGCCGTGGCACGGTCAATGCCACCTCCAGCGAGCGCAATCGATTGGCGTTTCTTCGGGCTTGGGCCCTCAACACGAAGCATCGAACTGAGCGCAGACAGCTGGGTCGCGCATGCTGCCGCGCCACGAGCCGCAGCTGCACCTTCTCGGGCACCAGCCCGCTGGTCTGCGCAGGCAGCGAGAAGCTCCGTGCGCGCACGGCATCAGCGCGCGAGCTTGCTGGCCGCTGCGCCACGGTGGCCGCTCGATTGCTAACCTCAAGCAGTGGCGAAGCGTATTGGTTCGCCCATAGGCCCACCAGAGAATGTTACTATAATCTTGATTCGTCTGCACGAAATGTGTTTTAGAGCACTGCTGGTTGCGACTGTCTTGTTCAAATAGCTTGCTATCATGAACTAAGAACATTGGATGTGTGGGTTCGAGCAGTAGTTGATTCTAAGATCGAGCACTATTTGATTATAAGAAGATGTCGTGGCAGGCCTACAGGAATGCTGGGACGGTCGGCCCCTGCTCAAAACCCCGGCCTCTCGATTTCTGGCATGCTCCGCCAGCGATTATTGTACAATCTGGTTCGGACCCCCCTGGCGGGCTCCGCGCGCGGGGGGGGGGGTCTCAAGCGCCGATGCAAGGAATCCGCGAAGACCTCCGACATGTAATGCTCATGCCGTTGGTGTGTCTTCTACTCGGGCGTGGCGCGCACGCGTCCGTCTTCGCCAGCGCCAGAGTCCAGATCGGAAGCACTGCGAGGAGCACTGGTCCAGACAGTGACAGGTCCCAACCATCCTCCTCGTTTTGCAGAGACAGCGCCCCGCGTCTCCTTCCCGCCCGCTGCTCTTCTCTCCTCCTCCTCATCCTCCTCCTCCTCCTCCTCCTCCTCCTCCTCCTCCTCCTCCTCCTCCTCCTCCTCCTCCTCCTCCTCCCCCTCCTCCTCCTCCTCCTCGAGGAGCACTGGTCCAAGTGGAGTCGGGTCAGTGACAGGTCCAGATCGGAAGCACTGCGAGGAGGGCCCTCTGCGGCCAGGGCACCCTCGAGCCCAGATGTCCACGGACGGAGAGCTGGGGGGAGGAAGGGGAGGGGGAGGACGAGGGAGGCCGAGGAGGGGGACGAGGGAGGGCGAGAAGGAGAAGTAAGAGGAGGAAAGAGGGAGGAGGAGGAGGAGGAGGAGGAGGAGGAGGAGGAGGAGGAGGAGGGAGGAGGGAGGAGGAGGAGGAGGAGGAGCAGCAGAGGGGAGGGCAGGTGGAGAAAGGGAGGAGAGCAACGTGGGAGAACACGGATTATCCTGTGCGTGTTCTTTTCTTCTTGTCCCCGTTCTTCCTGGAGTCACGTCCTGCAGTAGGGCCAAGAAGGTTTTGCGGCAGGACCACACGGCCACAGCAGGTCCAGCTCTCCGTGGCCCCGAGTTTGTGGCAGATCCATGGTGCCCTGGCCGTTCCAATCGGCGTTTCCGTACAGCGAAAGGGTACGCACATGCACGCATGACGAGAGAGGATCTGATACGGGTGGATCAATTGCAGCATCCGTGGTGTGTGTGTGTGTGTGAATGTGTGTGTGTTGTTGATCATGCGTCTCCCCCGGCTCCTCCCCGCGCTGCTTTCGGAGCAGTTCGGGAGGATGTCTCAGGCGAGGCGCTAGTTTCAAAACTCCCAAGCACATGCCCTGCCGGCCAGCCTGGCCAGGCGGGATCGGGCGGGGAGGAGAGGAGGAAGAGGCGATGTCTGCAAGGAGGCGGGGGGAGGAAAGGGAGCAGGTTAGGACGGACGGAGCAGAGGGGAGGGAGAAGAGGGACGGAGGGAGATGTGGAGGAGCAGGGGGAGAAGGAGTAGGAGGAGGAAGGAGGGAGGGTAGCAGAAGGCGGTGAAGTATAGAAAATCTTCCGATGGTATGGAAAATGTTCCGAAGTGGAAGATGTGACAGAGGAGGAAGGAACAAGAATAAGAAGAATAATAATAATAATAAAAATCATAATAATAACAATAATAATAAGAGAGGAGGAATGGTGCAGGAGGAGAAGGAGGAGGAAGCGGATGCGAGGGGGCATGAGGCGAAGAGGAAGGAGGAGGAGTAAAGCATAAGCGAGGAGGGATGAGAGTTAGGGGAAAGAGGAGAAGAAAAAAGAAGAGAACTTTCCAAATGCTTCATGGAGTCATCCTCCTCCGTTCTCCATCCTCCGCCTCCTCCTGCTCCTCCTGGAGAGAAGAGGCAGGAGGGGGGAGGAGTACGTGCTCTTCATCAAGGATTCGGCGGGAAAGCGCCAGGCGGACACGAAGGCGGTCGCCGACAAGGCCCCCAGCCCTTTCTCGATCTCTGTCTATTGTTGCTCCGCCAGTTCCTCCTCCTCCTCCTCCTCCTCCTCCCCATTCGTTTCTCCACCCCCCATTCCCCAAATCCGGCCTTCTCTTCACCCTCTTCCGTCTTCCCCGTCTTTGTCTCCCCCATCTGGTTCTCTCTTTCCCACCTTGTCTTCTCTTTCCCTTCCAGTCCACCCCCTCCACATTCCTTCACACTCCCTCTCCTTCCCACCAGTCCCCCATCCTCCCCCGACCCGCCTTTTCACTCCCCTACGCCCTCCCCCCTTCGGAGTCCACCCTCCCCGCCCCTTCTCACTCTCCTACGCCACCCCCTTACCACGTCCACCTCCCTCCCCCTGCCCGCCCCCCCCACCTTCCTGTTCACCTCCTACTTGCCCAACCTGTCCCTCGCCCCCCCCCCCCCCCCTCCGTCCGGACTTTCAGAGGGTAGGGGAGTGTCAATTGGCGTTCTGGGGGAAGCGTTTCGCGCTGCCCTTCCCGCCTCATCCCCCTCCCCCCCCGGGGCTCGTGTCAGTCAAGCTTAGAGTCATCGTCGTCGTCGCGTCATCGTCGTCGTCGTCGTGATCAGAATATCTGGGGGCTCGTGTAATTAGGTTGAGCCCCTCTGTTCGCAGAGAACTTCGGGGCCGTGCCACAAAAGCATAGAGTAATCATCGTCGTCGTCGTCGTCGTCTAGGCTTCCCTTCGTCCCGAGTGACAGGCGAGGAGGATCGAGAGGCCACCGAGTACGACGTGCGTTGTCGCATGTCTGAACGGCCTTGACATTCCTCATGCAGCCTGGCTTTCGGGTCATAACTCGGCTCCCGGGAAGCCGTTCGGGACGCACCCCCAGATCACCCCCAGCGAGGCGCAGCCGCTGGCGAGCATCCCGAGGTTGGAAAACCGCAAAGAACCGACGACAATGCCCGAAAACCTCGAACTTCGTTCCCCCCTAGTTTTAGGTCGGGCCTGTCCCCCTACAGGGGGGTTTTCCACGAAAAACTCAGAATACCCCCAAGATAGTCCAAAAATAGTCTGGGGACTATGTTTTGTATGTTTGATCAGTTTTGAATATTTTTCATTTTTCGTCGAAAATCCCCCTGTAGGGGCACACGCCCGACTTAACCCTAGGTTGCTCCCCATTCCCTCCTCGAACCTCGAAAGCCTCGAACATCGAGCCCACCCCCCTGCTCACGTTGCCACATCCACTTTCGTTTGTGTTGGAGGCCGAAGTCACATACTTGACGGCCGGCTGCGTACTGCAAGTGTGAGTTGTTTCATAGTTTCGACCGTTTCCTCTAATGCAATCGTTTCAGCCGTGAAGGAAGAAGTCGGATCACGGATAGAAGTTCTTGCTGTGATGATTGGGGTCGCCACGGCCTTACTCCTCTCCTCCCCCCTCCCCACCTTCGGTAGCAAATTATTGGAGCCTTGCTTACCGTCGTACTTATGTGTTTAGATATGTTTAGAGTGCGTGAGCGTCGATTAGCGTTTGGTAGTCAATTGAATGTCGCCGATCAGCGTCGATTAGTGTCTGTCTAGCGTCGACTGGCGTCGACCATCGTCGGTTCGCAAGAGCCAAAATCGCAGATGATTGCTCAGGGATGTCTTTGAGCTGGGTACATGACTTGGCGGGCTGAGGGGAAGGGTGGAGGGCAAACAGCACAGGCAGCAGCGGGACCACGGGCGGCCGACACCGCAGCCATTTACCCCGCTGACCGGAGCCCCGAAAAAGGCATAATTACAACAAGAGTCGATTTAGCGTCGATGATCGTCGACTGTCGTCGATGGCATGGCGGGGGCGTTGGTTCAGGAATGTGCCCAGGAGGCTTCAGACCCTGGGGGCTTCCTCATCTGATGAGGGCGGCGGAGATATCCATGGCCAGGCCTCCAGCGGTGTTCCACACGCTTCCAAACCTTGGATTCCGTACAAAGGGTTCCTGATCCAATGCCCTCACAGTATCGTTGGAAGCGCACACAGGGGGCTGGGGGAAGGAGGAAGGCTCCTTAGAAGCACCCCTGCCTCTTAGAAGGCGCGGGCCTTGTCTGTAGATGTAGGGCCGCGCCTTCTAAGACGCAGCCTCCCTCTAAAGAGTTGTCCATCCTCCCCCATACCCCGTTGGGCGCGCAGCCAACATCGACCTCCTCGTCTCAGCCCCCATCCATCCTCCTACTCCCCCTCCTCCTCCTCCTCGGCCTCCTCCTCGTCCTCCTCGTCCTCCTCGCCCTCGTCCTCGTCCTCGTCCTCCTTCTCCTCGTCCTCCTCCTCGTTCCTCATCGCTCCTTCGATGATCGTCGACTGTTGGCGATGATACGGGAGCCTCCCCTCCCCCTTCCCGCCCCAGGAGGAAAGCAAGGCGAACCTGGAGGCCGACCTCGAGGAGTACAAGGCGGCCCCGGACCCCGGCCCAACCCCGGGGCGGGGCTTCGCTGCAGCCCGCACGCCTCCCTCCTCGAGGAGGATCGGCCACGCGCAGCGCAGAGGGGGGCGGGGGGGAGGGGGGGAGGGTCCCTCGCCATGGCTCGCGTCGTGAGGCGTGAGGACGGGAGGTGTGGTTTTTTGCTCCGTTCGGCTTCCCGGGGCCCTCGCAGGGGCCCTCGGACCGTCCAGAGACGAGTCGGGAGGAAGCAGTGGCCCCCGGGGCAGGGGCCGGGGGCTCCCGGGGAGCGCGTGTTGGAAACATCAGGACGTCGCATGGCTGGGCACAGTCAGAACTCGGAGTAAGAACGCACGGGTGTCTTGAGGGTACCCTGGCGTCTTTGCCTCTGCGGCCTGTCCTTCGCGGTTTTCACTGGCCAGCCCTTCAGAGTGTTGGCAGTCCGCCGCCCAGGAAGTGCCGACTTCGGCGTCCAAGGCCCTTGCGTCCTTACCGCCCGTCCTTATCGTAGGTTTCGACAGTAGGGAGAGGGGAGAAGGCTACTTAAAAGCACCCCAGCTTCTTAGACAGCGCGGGTCTTGAGGAGGAGGAGGAGGAGGACGACGACGACGACGAGGAGGAGAAGGATGAGGAGGAGGCGGGAGAGAAGGAGGAGGAAGAGGAGGAGGAAAAAGAGGATCGAAGAGGAAAAACATTGCGCACACAGAAACGTCGCACGCTCCGCGCGGATTTCTTGGATCTGCGCTGGGCCCCGTTTGCGGCGCCTCTGGCCCCGTCCTTGGCGCGCTCCGCGCGCCATGAAGAGGGGGCCAGAGCGGATCCAAGAAATCCGCACAGACCTCATGTATGTGCACACTCACATATAGTTATATATATATATATATATATATATATGTGCGCATCTATAAACTTTCATCGATCAAGATATGTCTGTGCAGTTGTGGCTCCTCGGGACGACGAAAACGAGAAGGGGGAGCGAGAGACTCTGGAGCATCGGTGCCGTTACGCACTCTTCTGTGCCTTGGCGGGCTTCTCTTCCCGTCCAGTACAAGTCGCCCTTCTACGCACTGGCTGGATATCGTTGGAGAAGGAAAAGGCGCCGGGGCTTCTGAGAAGCCTCCTCCTCCTCCTCCTCCTCCTCCTCCTCCTCCTCCTCCTCCTCCTACATCGCTACGCGATCAGGCAGAGACTCCAGAGACTCCTCCTCCTCCTCCTCC